CTGAACGCTGTCTCCGTGTCATTCCTTCTTCGCCGACTCCGTCCACACCTTTGGGGACCCCTGGACCCGCTGGGGCTGGACCCCAGCACTCTGCCTCCCTCTTATAAAGTCACTTGTGATGGCATTTAGGGCCCATCAAATAATCCAGGACAGCATTTCCATCTAAAGAGCCTTAGTTTAATCAGCTATATAAGTGACACTGACAGGTTTTCCAAGGAGTAGGACCTGGATATCTTTTGGAAAACACATATTGTAATAAAGATGCACCTTTAAACTTTGCATATTAATGATTGTTTTTCTCTTCCTAAGTAGGATATCATTTTTTCCCAATGGAATAATTCATTGGCTTATTTTACTCAGCCCTTAATGCTCATTTCTTTGGTCTTGTCTGTGACATATTGAATGACTAGTTTTCATATGGGCAACATGCACAGTTTTTCTTATTTTTTTCTGAAAAATATTTCTTAATGTTATTTTGTATTGTAGTTGGTGTGATACGGTGCCCAGTATGCCGCCAAGAATGCAGACAGATAGACCTTGTGGATAATTATTTTGTGAAAGATACATCTGAAGCTCCTAGCAGTTCTGATGAGAAATCAGAACAGGTATGCTTCTCAATTTTTTTTTGTATTTCTATCTTGATATCAAAATGTAAATTACTAGAAAAGCGTGTTTGGGTTGTTACATAAATTAGGCTAGTTCTGCTATAGTTACATCTTTCAAATTGAAAATAAAGGGTATCTTTATTCTATACCCTCGCAGATCTGGCTCAGTGAGACAAGATCATTACTGAAAAATTGAAATCTTTTATAGATTTTGTTTCTGAGACTTAGATTTTTATCAACTGAGTGTTTGATCTGGAAGGAGAGGATCTCATTAAAGATAAATGGATAATAAAATAATTTTATTCTAGGTACGTAAATTAATATATGTAACTTGGAAGCAAGTTAGGAAGTTTTCACCTTTTTATTTTGTGGATCTATATTTTGTAAATCTAATGTAGCTTAGTATTTATTTCCTCTTTTAGGTCTGCACTAGTTGTGAAGACAATGCAAGTGCAGTTGGCTTTTGTGTAGAATGTGGGGAATGGCTTTGTAAGACATGTATTGAAGCACATCAAAGAGTGAAATTCACTAAAGATCACTTGATCAGGAAGAAAGAAGATGTCTCAGGTAAGAGAGAAGCAGTTTTAATGATTACTGTTAATCTCCCTCTTTTGCCCTTATATCATTTCTGCATATTCTTTATAAGCTTTGGATACCAGTATCGATGAGAATTTAGAAAGTTAGACAAAAATTTTGTTTAGTTTAAAAATACATGTTTTATTTTACTACAGAGTCTGTTGGAGCATCTGGTCAGCGCCCTGTTTTCTGCCCTGTACACAAACAAGAGCAGTTGAAACTTTTCTGTGAAACATGTGACAGATTGACATGTAGAGACTGTCAGCTGTTGGAACACAAAGAACATAGGTACAGAAGTCATAATTGCTTATCAAGAAATATTATAAAAAGTTCTTTAAAATTCTTACTTACTTTTCCTAAAGCAAGTATGTATTCCACAGATTTCTTTGTTAGCATTTTATTTTTTTTTGTTAGCATTTTAATTCTCACTTTTATATATTTCTTAAATCAAAACGTTGTTTTTGATAAATTAATGTTTTCACATTCATACCTAATAGTTTTATGATTTGTTAAAAATTCAGCGGTTCTCAACGTGTGGTTCGCGGCCCCTCTGGCAGTCGAACGACCCTTTCACAGGGGTCGCCTAAGACCATCCTGCATATCAGGTATTTACATTACGGTTCATAACAGTAGCAACATTACAGTTATGAAGTAGCAACGAAAATAATTTTATGGTTGGGTCACAACATGAGGAACTGTATTTAAAGGGCCAGATGGTTGAGAACCACTGCATTATATGGGTCTGGAGTAGCTTGATCCATGCTCAGAGCAAGCCAGGGAGTTAAAGCCACAGGACGGCAGGCCAACGAGAAGCAGAAGCTGGTGGGTAAATACACCCACTTCCTTGCTGCTTGATGAAACCAGCCTCAGGTGCGCTCCGCAGCTTCTCAGAGGGTCTTTTCCATTATATAACAAAATCCTCTAGTAAATTTCCCAGTTGATATGACATCTATTTATTACAGTTAAAAAGATGGTCTTGCTTACCCATACAGAATTTTCTAAAGTATTTTCTTAAAACAGTTCAGCTGAATTGGAAATAGGTTTTATGAATCTCCTGTCATAAAAGAGTAGGCTAAGTTGGATCAACCACACTTTAATCTGTTTTGTAACTGTAAGATGTCTTAGAGATTTTAATTTGTTAGATTCATTGCAATTCATTTAGAATTCTCCTAAAAAAGGAGGTGATACAGTAATTCATAGTTTGTGCCACACTTTTCTGAATTCACACCAATTACCCATAAAGTGTTGATACTAGTATCATGACTGTTTTAAAGGAGAGGGAGTCTATTCCCAAAAAGGTTTAGTAATGTGTACACGGTCTCACTGGTAGTGGTAGAACCAGAATTTGAATAAAGTGGTCAGACTCCAGATCTATTTTAGTTCATAGGCTTATTTTCTCCCATATGGTATATAGAACCTGGAATACAGTATGTAGAATCCCTCAAAGCTAATCATATATATAATGCCCTTTGTTCTTTCCCAAGGCTGCACTTATGTTCTACAGAACATTTGATTAGAAATGTACTTAAAATGTTTATATCCTAATTAGTTCCAGTATGTTTCATCTTACCTGAAGGTTGGCTAATATTTTACTTGAGGTTACTAATCTTGTGCCCGCCTTTACCTCAGGGCCAAATCTTACCTTTGATTATTTTGTAATAATCTCAGTAAGATACTAGATTACTTTCTCTCAGCCTCAGTTAGATCTTTGAGAAATCTTAGATTTCTTAGGCTTTTTAAATTAATGGCGAAATTCAAAAAGAACAAGAAGATGGCATCCTTTTTCTCATGAAAGAATAGCTTTCACTGCCCCTCTGTCAAAGTTTAGCCATGATCCTTCCCCCTTCTTTGTCGTTTTCCTTGATAAAGGAAAATATACCAGGTCCTATTATCTGTTGAATGTTTTTCCCCTTTTCTTTAGTTCATACTTTTCACCTTTCCTCGATAGACTATTGCAGAACCCATGTCATTGGAATTAAAAACCTCTGTTCAACACATTTCTAACTGGTCTCCTTGTTTAGAAGTTTATCTTGTTAAATTCATCTGTCCATATTGCTGCAAGGGTTATTTTGGTAAGATACGGAGTTGCCCCCCTCCCCACCCTTCTTTAAAAGAACCCTTCAGTGGTCCCTCATAATCAAAGTTGAAAGTGTTCAATATTGCATACTTCATTGAGTCTTACCCAAAATTGTTCTCTTCATCATCTGTATGAAGTTAGGAAACAGCCCACAAGACCACCCTTGCTTCTGATGCCAACTGCAGAGTTCAAAAAACCCAAATATAGGAGACAGCAGCATGCAATTCAGCTCATTGATATGATTTGCTGTTGCCTTCCTCAGTTAGGGTGGTAGCTTTCCAGACAGAATGTGCCTTCACCTTGGAACTGCCATCCATAAACGAAGCAGCTCTCTCTTGGTTAATAGCTGTTTATTAGCACCACCTGTGGGATCATAGGATTCAGCAGCTCCTCGGGTGGTTCCAAAGTCATACTTAAGGGGAAAGAGGCTGGGTACCTGCTCATAAAAACCACAAATACATCTTTGCATCGTCCTTTTGCATGTTTGTGCACAAACAGTTTCTGTGTATACAGAACTCCTTTAGGCACTGCCTTCCTTATTAGAGTGTCCTTCATCCTCCAAGGCATTATGGGCATTTCAGGTTTCAGGGTTATTTTATGTTCTTAAGTCATAGAGTCAGTCTCAAGTAATGCCTAATGGCAAGCCAGTAATTTTCTCTTACATGGCGTATATCTTACCGCAGCACCCAGGAATTTTCTGGTCCAAAATTCCGGTGGTTGCTGCTGAGTAGAACTGATAGGCTTTTTTTTTAAAATTTTTTTTATGGCATCCACTACTGCCTGCTGACCCTCCATGCCCATGGCCATCATTGTCTCCTCTCTTCAACCTCTCAGGCCTCATCTGGCTGAGGGACCTTTCAGCAGATCAGTACCCATCTCACCATGTCAAGCTGGGAGTGCTGGGTCCCCTGCATCAAACCACATTGTGAGGCTCTTCCTCTCTCCCTCCTCCATCTACCTCTTTCATGCTCTTGCCCAAATTCCTGTTGGGTACAGCTACCCTAAGGAGCTTCTGATTTGAAGCATCCCCTAGTCTATGTCATAAGCTCCTGCAGACCCATCTGGATGGATCCACCATGCCAGGATCCCCAGTTCCAAGCCAAGGAGGGAAAGCAAGAACATGTGGCATGACTGCTTCCACACGCCTTTCTTTTCCTCTTCACATATCCTCCAGAGCCTGAAGAGCTGGGCTTTGCTTCCTTAACGGGAAAATTTAAGCTGTTGCTGCTGCTCCTCCTCCTCCCCCTCTCCTCCCTTTGCCTTCCCTCCCCTCCTCCTCCCCTTCTCCTCTCCCCCCTTTATTTTTATTTATTTTGTTGAAAGTATTACATATGTCCCCCTTTTCCCCCCATTGACCCCTCTAGCCCACCCCCATCGCCCATAAACTTCAGTCTGCGCAATCTCTGTTGCTGATACTTACAAAATTGTTCCGGGTGTGGATCATAGGGCCCCAAACGCATCTGGAAATAGACTACTTTTTGCAATTCAGACAAGGCCTGCCCCCCATTCAAATACGAATGATCTTCTTTGGGGTGATTATATTGATTAGTACTAGTAATATTACCAGATGTGGTAATATTCACAATTCAAATATACCAACCAAATGTTGGGCTTCCTGTTTAGTTCTAAAGGTGGTTGGCAAAAACTGTATTTGTTACCTGTGGAATGTCAAGGCTATTCCGCCTAGGTTATTCCTAACAATTTCACCAGTTTGGGTGAGAACTTGGACCTTTGCTGGATTTATTAAAAGCCTTTGTTGGTCGTGTGTGTCTCCATTGCATTTAAGTCAGTCCTACCTTCATCCTTATTTTCTGATATTATCATGATATCAATACAGTGAATTATTATTCTTCTTAGAACCTGCATGAAGTTTAAATCCCTTCTAACCAAATTATACCAGTAAACTGGTGAATTGAAATAACCCTGTGGCAGTACAGTAAATGTAAGTTGGGATCCTTGCACAGGAAGGAAAATTGCTGTTGGCATATTTTTGAGATTGAGGCAGAGAAGAAAACATTTTTGGGATCAATCACTGAGTACCATGTTCCTTTAGCCTGCTGTATGTATTTTTGTACTGTTGAAACCATATCAGGGACTGCTGATGCTATGGTGGCACTACTTTATTAAAGCTTTAATAGTGTGTTATCTTGATGAGCCATCCACTTCTTCACAGGCTGCACAAGGTTATTGTAACGGAATTCATTGGTACCAGCACTTTAGCTTCTAATTTGTTATTAAAGTGGTAATCTCTCTTTGTCCACCAGGTGTATCCTATATTGTCTCAAGTTAATAACTTCTGTTGGCTCAGACATTTCTTTATGGTCTTGTAGGTTCTTAAAGCAGCTTTAGAACTTTATGACATTTTGTACCTTAAAACGTTACATGGTTTCTAGTTAAACCATGGGGTTATCCCTCCTTACTCTAATAATTCTCCTCACAGTAAATGAATAGAGAAAAGTATAGACTTATAAATATCAAGAAGTCACCAATGAAGATTTCAGTTAATTTTTAAAAAACAAGAAAATTGAATATCTAGTGATTCTGATATTTGACTTAGTTGAGTTGAATTAACTGCAATCCAAGGGTAAAGGAGATAGAAAGGAAGTCATACTAGAGGTAATAGGTATTGCAAAAGTTGGGCTTTTTCTTTGAATAAATAAAATCAAAGGCTCTGAACTTGGGGATATTAGGTCTAAATGGAGGGTGGGGATGAGGAGTTTGGCCAAATTGTAAAGATTAAGATTAAATCTGCACACTAAACTGGGACTTTCACTTCCCCCAACTTGATTCCAGATTAGCAGTAGTGATACTTTCCTATTTTACTATTTCTCTCTATTCCCCTTTCTGGAAATAGAGGCCTTTTAACTCTCTGGAGAAAGTGAATGATCAAAAGAATCCTCTAAATGTTGACATTTGGGGATCATTTCTAATTAAAAAGATTGCCTTACAGTGAAGTTCACCAGCTCATAAGTTCTTCTATTTCTCACACATGATTCTAAACAGTTTTTATTGTTTTTAATTATTTAAAAAATTAAATCCTCTCCCAAAGAGTGAGGATATTTTTCCTATTGATTTTTAGAGAGAGTGGAAGGGATGGGGAGGGAAAAGAGAGAAAGAGGGAGAGGAAGAGGAAGAGGAAAAAGAGAAACATAGATGTGAGAGAGACACACCTACTGGTTGCCTCCCACACACTATCCAACTGGGGGTGGGG